TGGTATGGTAGCTCCTTATTTCTATGGAGAAGAAACTGGGTTCATCTTCATTGTGGCACTGGATTGTACTCTTCTCCTTCCACCGATGGTATAATCTTTTCTCTTGGAGCATGGGTATCATGACACCAGAACACAGTTTGGAATTAGTGGAGTATGGTCTTGTAATTAGAGCTGAATTGAAGAAATTACCTGCTTGATGTGGATTCTTATCACTGAAGCTTGAAATTAGAATGACCAGACTGGTTTCAGGGATGTAATAAGTAGTTGGGCCATATATCTTTACTTTATTTAGGCCCATTTCCCCTAGGGCTTGATTTATGAATTCATTTCCTTTTTCCATTTTGGCCCTCTCCAGCATGTGGCCCAACCCATGAAGCATTAACATCTTGCCTTCAACCCATATCATAGAGTTCATCCCATTAACAAAAGGAAAGTTGCCCTCCCTGCGATTCCGTCCAATTTTGCTCAGTTCGATTTCTTCAATTTTTGGTGGGATTTCCAAATTAATCATCAGCTCCGGTGAGTTCTCTGCGACCTCTCTTTCCTTCCTCGACTGCGGATCGGCGTCCGTCAGCCACTTGAACGACGGCACTGCTTTGGCTGGTTTCTCCGCCACAGTCACGGTTCGCATGGAGAAGCTCTCGGTCATCTTCCACTCTTCATCACTTATTCTAGGTTTGAAGAGTTTTGGGCCTGCAAGCTTAGCTTTTCCTGGTTTATCTTGGTGGTTCGAGCCACCATTACATGCGCCAATTTCCTCCAGCTTGGGTGGAGTTTCACAGTTGGTAAAATTTCCCTCCAACACTCCATCTGAAGTCGTCGGTAATGGTGCTGATACAATTTCAAATCTGTATAGTTTATAGCTTTCAGAAATAGCCCCAATTTCATCTGATTCCGACACATTTTCAGAATTGAAGATAGTTTCAGAATCAGCAGTGCTTTCCATCGGATTGAGTACGAGTTCCTCTTTCTTCCTTTCCTCTACTTGTCCATCCATTTTTCTCATCATCAAATCGATCTTCTCCATTATTTTAGACATCTCCTCCTTAATTTCTTCCACTATGGAGACCTCTTTCTTACCAAATCGATCTCGCAACAAACACTTCAATTCATCCCAAGTTCGAATCGACCGACGGCTTTTAATCCATAAAAACCACTCCCAAGCTTCACCGCACCAACATGCCGTAGCAGCTTCCACCTTTTCGCTCTCTGACAATTGATTCCTTGCGAAAATTTCATCAGCCTTTCCTAGCCACCAATTTGGATCGCCATCATAGAATAGTGATATGTCTAGTCTACCTACCGAATCCAATCCACAATCCTTTGCCATTGCCCTCAGATCGTTGCTCTGATACCACTTTGATAGGATCCCCTGCTCTGCCTGCTTGGATTCTACTCAACCAAGGACTGATGCTACGAAAAGGATCTGTGGACGTCAACAGCCTGCTGAAATAGTCTCAGATTAGGCCTCAGTTATGTAATATGATCTGTGAAATAAGAACACTATATAGGGATTGATATTTGTATTGGAATATAGCTGTGAATTATGAATTGTATTGAAATGAAACTGGAAATAGAAATTGACAGAACAATTCCAAGGCAGTTCGAGAGGCCTGGATCTCTCCTACTTGGCTCAGCCAATTACACAATATTTTTCATATCTACCACTATGGATTGCCCCTCTATTTATAGAACATTTCTAACTAATTTTCCCTCCCCTTGCTATAACAGAATTCTGTTGATATATATTCTTCTCAACTCTTCCGAGCTCTTCTAGAATTGGAGGCCTATCATATTTTAATTTGAATGCTTATTATATATTCAATAAAGGCAATTAACAAAATCACAATTCAATTATTATAAAATGTTATTTTATTAAAGCATAATATAATAAATGAGCGCATAATCAAATACATTTGTTCTATATATTTCTCATACAACCTAGACGGCCTTGTGATTCTTGCAACTAAAAAGAATGCTTCGATGCCGCTTTGTCACTTCTTTAACTCGTGTGTTTTTCACATTGAGGGCCATTTTTTGAGAATCGTATGGTGCGATCATGTAACTTCTGCATTTTTTCTTGTAGAAGAGTTTCAAAATCTTTGTCAAATTTTCTTCAAAGGTCTTCTAACCAGACACATCACTTGCATAAAATTATCCAAATAGCCAAAAGTAGCTTCTTAGACCAGTTTGACAAAACTTTTAAGATTATAAGCCGGTGAATCTCATGGATATGTGGTTAAAAAGTAGATAAAAGTCGGGGATATAATGAAATGTGTAATTAGAAATGAAGTTTGACCAAATTATACTCTAAAAAAATGTTTTTTCAAATAGAGGCAACTCAATACTAGTTTTGGCTTTTCGAACGGGCTAGAGTTTATACGTCCACTTACTGCAAATATTGATATGCGATCGAGGAGATAAAGGTACAGCGTAATTAGGATCCACATAATCCAATGAGCTAGCCGTGGTAATGCTCCAATCTATGCTAGTTTCACTTGGTGCATAACAAGTTGTGGCGATGATGCTGCTAGACATGCCATCTAATTCTTGTAAGAAAGGGGTAACTGGAACTGTGTGACAGGCTCTCTAATTTAAATAAGTTTGAACTTGAATCACTGTCATTATCATAGTTAGAACTTACTGAAATTTCAGTCTTTCATTTTTGGAGGGAATGAATCACAATTCAAAAAGAAGTTCTTCCTACTTTCCAGCGAAGGCAAAAACTATTTAAATCCAAAATCGTAATCAAGAAGGATTAGAAGATTGTGGAATATACTGGAAGGGGAGTTGCTGCCACTTGCTCCAAGTAGTTAGAGATGCTGGTGTATAACAGATTATTGTTTTACCACTTGTAGTTGTTGTAATTTGTGTATATATATTTGTAACCTTCTTCCATTTTAATCAATGAAAAGTAATACAACAGCACGTCTTTCTCTCTGCTTTCTTCATTCAGTTTTGCTTAATTGATTTACATTCATTTAGGTATTCTTGTTTTATGGTATCAGAGCCAAGATGGCTGATAACGACGGTACAAGTGTTACCAATACAAATTAAAACCCAATCCTACCTCAAAACTCAAATCCAAACTCTCAGGATCCATCCTTTCCCAACAGTCCTTATTTTATTGGTACAAATGAGAATTCTGGAGCACTGCTAGTAACACAAATGCTAGGCTTTAGTAATTATCATTCTTGGGCAAGATTGATGAGAAGAGCCCTTCGAATCAAAAACAAACTTGGATTCATAAATGGAAGTCTTTGTGAACCAACTGATGTCGATAATCCATTGATGGAGCACTGCTTCAGTGTAATGATATAGTTATCACTTGGCTGCAAAACACCATGACGATGGACATTAAGACTAGCACGCTGTATGCTGAAACAACACACCAATTATGGCTGGAATTAGAACAGCGTTTAGCTCAACAAAATGCTCCTAGAATCTATGAAGTCAAACATGGAATAACAACACTAATGCAAGGACACGATACAGTGAGCACTTTTTTCGAAGCTGAAAACACTCCTCGATGAGCTAATGAACTATGAGTCTATTTCCAATTGCACATATGGAGGGTTGCAGATGGTGGTTAGCAATCAACAAAGGGACTGGGTGATGAAGTTCCTTATGGGACTGAATGACTGTTAGAAAAGTCTCAAGGACCAAATCTTACTGATCAGGCCGTTTCCCAGGTTGAATGAAGTTTATTCCATAATCCAACATGATGAAAAGATAAGAGACATTTCTGCTGATAAACCTGTCTCTGAGGGAATGGCACTAATGGCGAGAAGAAACAATATCAGACAGACGGAAAGGAAGAATTTGGGACCTCAGAATAAGTATTTCTGCACTTTTTGCAAGATATCTTGCCACTCACTAGATAGGTGTTTTAAAGCTAATAAGGATAAACCAACGTGCACACACTGTCAAATGCCAGGCCACACTCACTACAAGAAAATGCGATTTTAGAAACGGATTATTTCGTCTCTAATGGCTTGATTTCCGTTGCTAACAATGTTTACCGACGGAATCAATCCGTTGGTAATCGGATAGTGATACCCCCGTGGCTAATTTACCGACGGATTTCTTTGATCGTTGGTAAATTAGCGACAAAAAAATTTGTTGGTATTTTAACAAGGAATGTTGTCGCTAATTACTGACGAATTTCTTTGTTACTAATTTGTTGGTATTACCTACGCCTTTCCTAATAATTTTAGCAACAAAAATTACAAATGGCTTATTTGTTTCTAAATAGTTACCGATCTTCTGTTTTTATTTGCATTACTATGCGCCAACAATTTTTCTACGGAACTATTTGTTTCTAAATAAGAACGTATATTTCGTTGCTACATTTGTTTCAATTTTTTTACACAAATTTTCAACAAGAATAAATCCTTCGAAAATTTGGATTACAATTAAAAAAAATGCACTAAATATTTTTTATTTATTATATTTTTATTTTGAATTAAATTTGTTAAAAAAGATAAAATACGCCAATGAATAAACGAATACGAAATTGCAAACATTTTCATTCCATAACGTCACCATTCAAAATACACATATTCACATTCATTATGCTTTCATTTCAAAAAACAATACTAACTTGTTGAAATTAGATCATATCCCTCATGACACCAAATCCAAAAACATCTACACTTTCAATGGTAACTTTTTTAAAAGCAAAATAAACATTTACTATTTCCAACCATTGACGATCATTGCACTTGAAAGACTAATCTCGTAACCCATTCCTTTCTCCCAACTTTTGAAGTATGGTTTGATCGAACTCAATCCGCTTCATCTCTTCTTCAAGTTTGCCATCTTCCATCTTTCGAATTAATTCATCATTTTCCCTTGTAAGTTGATCTATATTTTCGCAAGCACCACGAAATTCCTCTTGCTAAATGCTAAAATCAGCCTGTACTCCATCATATGGATTAGAGGTGCCAACTTTGTGCATAATAGGACGATGAAGACCAAGCCCATACAAGAGACCACTCTTACAAGGACCCACACCAAGCTTCAATGTCAATTTCAGGATGTGAGGAAGCATTTGAACCATATTTTTCATTAATTGCATTGTCATCTGTTTCCTGCAAAACAAATGTAAGTCTCAATCAATAACTATATACATTATATAAATAAAATTTAATTTATTTCTACTTACATAGAAAATTCTTGACTTATTATCTACAAAGTCTCCTTCTCCCTTGTTTCGCCGATGTATACGTTCGAACAATTGTGATGCAGTAGGTGGCTTACCTAATTTCTCATGCTGAAGACAAACAATTAAATCAATATTTAGTTTTAAAAGATTATTGATTGGCATACTCTTCCCAAATTGAAACATCATCTCATGCATACTAGTCAATTTAGCATTCCAACATCTTATAAACCTGGGAGCAAACATGCCAAAACATATAAAACAGCTAATCCAATCAAATACAAATTTTCTTGGACTATATATTACATTGCAACATTCATCAGAATTTAGCAGTCAGATGCAATGAAGTTTGCACACAAATCACATGTTGGTCAGGCCATATGCTAGTCCCAGAAAATATCCTAGTTGCATCAGGGCTCCACGTCACAAAGTGCATCCTGCAACACAATGGAAGTGCTAAAAGCAAGTGTACACAACTGAACAAATAATAGTAAGAAAAGTTCTTAAACTAATTGGGGCATCTGTCTCACCACTGACCCTCAACGTTCTTTTGTGAGTAAGTTTCTTCGAGTCAGATAAAGTAGATTCAGACACAGTCATCACCACAAGCAAATGGTTATAAATGTACAGAACAAAAGCTCTTCTAACAGATATAAATGGACAGAACAAAAGCTCTTCTAACAGATAGAACAAGATAACTCACAACATGTCAATCATTCATGAAATTGATTTCTAAAAATTAAACATTACCAGCCTCAACTTGTGGGGTAGGAATTGTTATTGAACCAGTAGTGTGCTTAGTAATGGTTCCCGACTTTATAGTGAGTCGGTTATCACGGCCAGATTTAGACTTCTTCCATCCTTCATTGTTCCACTGTTTCTCAATTATCTCATTCCAATGCTCTACACTTAACCACGGTGGTCCATATCCCTTCCAGTCAGCTATATTTTCAGACCCACTATTTTCTTTAGCATCCTTTTGAGCCAAACAAAAAATATTTCGCAACCGATCAATTGAGGCAGTATTCCATGCCTTCTCCACCTCGTTCTCCTTATTTTTTGGCCATGAGTATTGTTGCTAATGTAAGTACCAAATATTGGTATGAAACAACAGAGGTATAAGGACAATAACTAACTTAAAGAAATTTATATTACCTGAAATCTTTCCCACAACAATTTTTTTTTTATGTCAACTGGCACCAAACTACATGTAGGATAAGGTCCACCCAAATAAGATTTCAAATTGGCACTTACAGCACGTGATGTCGATGGAGTAATAAATCTGCAAGCAGGAAAATAGATACACAGAACTTAAAGCAGATAGGAGGGAATTAGAGCTGATAATAAGAAAATTACAGAAAATAACAGGTTTACATTCTTCAAGATGTAACCTGCTGATTTTTTTAACGTGAACAAAAACCATTAGCATTCCATTTTCCAGTAACACCATTTTGCATTGAATACAAAATAGATAAAAAAAAAAAAGTCACATAGATACCTATTGCCTCCCACAGTTAAAGGAGTTCTTCCAGATTTATCTGCACGACCATTAGTACCGTAGTTAGGACCCTTTCTCCTACCATTAGGTCCATCATTGTCCTCTGAAGAAAGAGATATATCAATACTCTTCGAACCAGTCTCGGTCAAGTCATTGTCCTCCTCATCTTGCAACCTGGTAACTCCATCTTACTTGACTAGGCATCTTCAATTTCAGTTTTGAGAAAGAATGGTGAGAAAAAGCTGTAATTATTTGCCTTCAATCATGAGTGGGATTGTATTATACGAGGAAAAGAATGAGATATTTGGGGAAAAATGAGCTGGAAGGGATTGAAATTTTTGGAAGATTTGGTAAGGAAAAGTATGAATTTTGGAGGGATTTAGGAAGTGATTGGCGGCAGGGGAGTGGGAAATTTTTGGACGAATTGGGAATTGATAAACTTTTGGAAGGGAAGTGATTGGCGAGGGGAGTGGGAAATTTCTGGAAGGGTTTCAGTATTTTTATGCATAAAAATCTGAATATTAATTAATAAACTATAGATGGATTTATATGAAAAATTTTGATAAAACTTAAATCTGAAATTTTAAACCTTTTAAATTTAGTTGGTACAAGATAACAAATCAATTACCAATGGATTAATATGGAGAAAATGATTTCTATAGCCTTCACGGAATAAATATTATTAATAAAATTAATAAAATTGATAGTAAAAGTTATTATTTAGTTACATCTTGTCGATCGAATGACTCGCCAATCATGTTATGAATACATGGCGTGGTCGTACTATTTGAAATGTTTGTCCTAAATTCTAGAGGGAACGTTTGTCATAAATTCTAGAAATTATTTTCACCTAGCTTTATTTGCATTAACTAGATAAGCATCAATGACGTTATCTGTTAGCCCAAGAATAACTAACCAAGAGGGGGGTGAATTGGTTTTTGAAACTTTTTCGACAATTAGTCTCAAAACTATTCAATATACAAGAAACAAATGTTAAGTGTAATAAAAGAGATAACTATGCAAATTCTTCCATGTATTGAGTTCCACATATTCATCGTGGACTATCTTTCCGCTCTTCTTGGTTTAATTACGATTGGAAAATTTTGAATAAATAAATAAGTAAATCAAGTCAACAACAGAACTGGAAAGAGAAGGATTGGAACCCTCGATATGAATAACTCGTACAACGGATTAACAATTCGACGCTTTAGTCCACTCAGCCATCTCTCCCAATTGAAAAAGAGAATTACTACATTGCACATAATGTAATGAGTCTTTCTTCTCTGCAAATACTCCAATCCTCCAATTCCCAATTTCCAATACTTAAAATTAAATTTTAAGACGAAATTGAAGAGAAAATGAGATTATCAAGGAAAAATTCTGGAAATTGTTTTCCATCTAACTTTCTTTGCATTATTTCGATAAGCATCAAAGAAATTCTCGAAAGTTCTTTGACCAGTACCACATTAATGTTCTCCCATATATTGGTTTCCACATATTCGACGTCGACCATCTTTCTACTATTCTTGATTGTACGATATTATTCTTTCTCAAGCCTCGAAGTAATGTACGTTGATTTGAGACTTAGGAATGGAATTCGGTATCCCTCTAAACTTTGTACTTATAATTGACCACTAAGCAATTGAAGAGAAAATTAGATTATCAAGATAAAATTCTTGAAATTATTGTTCATCTAGTTTTATTTCCATCATTTAAGCATCAATCCTCAAACGCTCTTTGACCGATACCACATCGATGTCATCCCATGTATTGAGTTTCACATCCTCCTCGTTCATTTGATCCTATGTTGAGTTCGTGTTTAAAGCATACCGGATTAGAAAGCTCTTACTGGATATACAAGATTCTTACCGGTTTTAAAATGAAAAACTGAAATACCGACTTGTAAGAATACACATTTTAGTCTAACTTTACATTATCTTATAGTTAGACATTTCAACCAAAATATTGTAACTAGATTACAATCCAAAATACAATAATTTTGTGACAACTAAAATGTCACAATTCCAACAAGCCGATATCCTCCTTTCAAAACCCCCAGCAAAATAACCAAAAATGTGCTACATCCAAGAGAGAAATTGTTGAGTGTAGCATGAGACATTTTGACTATCACATTCCTTGTTTTAAGGTGGCTGGATTTTGCATCTCAAGTCATGAGATTTATGTACTTTAGTTGATAGTTTAAATCTTGTAATTTGTCCAAGTATGGTCTTATATTTTGTGGTCGATTTGATAGATTGAAGTTGATAGGAAGATGTTGAAAAACTTGTATTTTGTAATGTTATATATTTAATTATCAATGAAAAAAATGTAGCTTCCTTCTTCTATATTCTTTATCTTCAAAAACAGAGCATTTTCCTTCTTTAGAAAAAATAGTCTGGCAGTGTAAATCTCGGTAAGTATTAAGTGAATACGGTGAGCTGAGCGCATATATGGTGACCGTTTTGCACACGCGGTGAGTCCTCTGTTTTCTCAATAAAAAATAGAGTATTGCTTACAAATCCGGCAAGCATCTTGCATAAACGGTTAGCATCTTGCATATCCGGTAAGTTCATTGTCAAACCGGTAAGTTATACAAAACGGTAAGGAGTGTTAAAATCGGTTAGCATATTGTGAATTCGGTAATTTCTACTCTTTGAATTAAAACTCTAACAGGAATACATGTGAATTGGACATGTAAATCAAACATCCATGTTTTCAGGAAGCAGAATTTCAAAATCATAACCATTAACAGCAAATGAAATTACAAGAAATAACAAATTCAACTAAAATATGCTCAATTCCATAGAATATAAGGACATTCAGTAGAACAATATATTAAGCTTGGCATTTACTACCTCTGCTTATTGTACATGGCAGAATGAGTGTTAAGTACCATGATAGTTGTAAATTTTGCTAGAGTTTAGATGCCACAACATCAAAGAAGCACATTAAATAAATAACATTAAAGAAACATAAAAAAATTGATTCTTATCCATCAGACTACAAGGGGTTCCAATTTAAACACGTAGAGAGTGAAAGGAAACAGTTTTGATTAGGAAATTTTTGCTAGTAGTGTTTCCTAAATTATCACTAGAAACATCACATCTCCTCATGTAGCTCCCTTCTCCAATCTGGGCACCATTCTCTTTCCCGTATAATGGTCAGAGGTTATCCTACATCAGACCCATGAAAAATATGAACAATGACATAAATAATTAAATAAAAAATGAACTAAAAATGAAAAGAATAATAAGATTACAATTTTCTCCTTCACTTGCACTTGTTGAGAAACCATCATCACTGTCAACGTAATCTAGTTCAGCATTTTCTTCTACATCAGGACTGTCTTCTGCTTCTATATTGGACATCCTAGAGTCAGCTCAGTCTACTTCTTCAGCCCCAGCCTCGTCACAAGCTAAATTGACAAGGTCAAACTCTGATGTTATTCGAACAGGTTGTTGGGTAAACGATGGTTGATCCTCTTGGAATGCAAGTTCCACCCATACATTACACTCTTCATTCTCCGATATAATTCCTTGTATATTGGGAACATTTTTTGCTTTTGTTTTCACAACGCCCACCAACCAACTCTATCTCTAGCCTTCGTAGGAAAACAAGTGTAATATACTTGTTGAGCAAGTATAAACACATCATTTGTCTGTAGTTTCTTGTTATGGTTAAGCTCGACAAGATTGAATCTTCGATGGACTCGAATCCCACCATTGGTGTTAAACCAATTACACTTAAATAAAATAACCTTGTTTACAATATCTCCTAAATAATCCAGTTCCAATGTTTCAGTTAATATACCGTAGTAGCCACGTTCATAATCATTATGACAACTTCCCAATACGTACACACCTCTATTCATTGTTGCTTTGTGGGAACAATAGTCTAAAGTGTAAAACTTAAAGCCATTGACAAAGTGTCCGTTATAACAATTCACTCTACGAGAGGGACCCATGGCCAAAGCTTTTATGCGATTATCAACTGCATTATGATCGTCCAAAACCTAAGCAGAAGAAATGATGTGAATTAGAACTCATTTTACCAAATACTTTGTAGGCAATCGAGAAATCATTTGTATAATCACTTACATATTCCCTCAACCAACATGAAAAATTTTCCTCGCGTAAACCTTCACGTTGTGCATCAGAAATTTGGGGATACAATGTTCTCATACATTTATCAAACTCCCTACACGATGATGAAAAACAATAATTCAGCTAACTAAGCATAAAGTTCAGTACATATATTTGAAATGTAGTTATAACAACTTACGCCACAAAAGGGGTTACTTCTTCACAATTCAAGAGCACATATATTGATGCTACTCTGAATTCCTTAGTTGTTATTAATCTGACATTATGATCTTGAATGCCAAAGGATTGTCCAGGGTGGGTAAAAATCGATAGTCGTCCTTGAGGATTGACAAGACCTCCATCATCATTCCTCAGCACACGATTAAATCTCGTTACAAAATTTTGATCAAAATACAAAGAGCAAAAAGTCAATGTTTCTTCTACTAGGTATGCTTCTACAATAGATGCGTCAACATGAGCCTGATTTTTCACCTTCTTTTTTAAGTGGTGTAAGAACCTGTGATACACGAAATCAATATCATTCTCATTTCAGATAGTAATTTAAATGTTAAAGAATATGATACCTTTCAAAAGGATACATCCAACGATACTGAATAGGACCTCCAACCTTTGCTTTATATGCTAGATGAATAGGTAAATGTTCCATTGAATCAAAAAATCCCGGTGGAAATATCTTTTGAAGCTTGCATAATATCACCACAATGTTTTGTTCCAATCGCTCCATATCTTTCACCCTCAACACAGTAGAGCATATATTTCTAAAAAAATGGCTAAGTTCAATTAAAGCTTCCCAAATTGGTTTTGGAAGCAAGTCTCTAAATACAATTGGTAGCAATCTTTGCATAAAAATATGACAATCATGGCTCTTCATTCCATAGAATTCATAGTCACCCTTAACATAACGTGAAATGTTAGATGCATAACTGTCAGGCATTCTTAAATTTCTAATCCAATTGCATACTTCTCGTTTTTGTTCATTAGTTAAGCTGTAAGAGGCCTTTGGCATGAACAATTTCCCTCTTTCATCTTCATATATATGAAGATCTGGACGGTTGCAATAAAGCTCCAACTCTTTTCTGGCCTTGAAGTTGTCTTTGATTTTTTCTTTTATATCCATAATTGTGTTGAATATATTTTCGAATACATTCTTTTCAATGTGCATCACATCTAAATTGTGTCTTATGAGATTTGTATCCCGATAAGGTAGCTCCCAGAAAATACTCTTCTTCACCCAATTATGGATACGACCAAAACCATCAATTTCTTGTCTCTTATTAGCTCTACCACTTTCAACGTATGGGAGGTTCTCCACTATACTTCGCAATTCTTCACCAATTCGCCTTTGTTGTGCTATGCCCTTCTCGACTCTACCTTTGTAAAACTTGTCTCTTTGTTTTCTAAATGGATGCTCGGGTGGCAAGAATTGGCGGTGATAATAAAAAAAGATGTTTTCCTCCATTTTTAAGTCTGAAGGATTTAGTTTGGCCCATACAGTATGGACAAGACTTTAAGCCGTGTGTACTCCATCCAGACAACATGTCATAATCTCGGAAAATCACTAATAATCCACATCAATGCAGCTTTCAACTGCAAATTCTTCTACGTGTGCATATCATAAGTTTCGATACCTTCATACCAAAGCATTTTTAGTTCATCAATGAGAGGACGCAAATAAACATCCGGATTTTTCCCTGAACTCTTTGGTCCCGGAATTACCATACTTAAAAAAAAGTTTTCTTATTGCATGCACATCCATGGCGGGAGATTATACACAGCAACGATTACTAGCCAACATGAGTACTGTACATTAGACATGCCGAAGGGGTTGAATCCATCCGTGCATAAACCAAGACGTACACTACGTGGTTGAAGGAAAAATTGAGAATAAGTTCTATCAAAGTGCTTCCATGCCTCACTATGTACGGGTGTGAAATTTCATTATTAGTTAATTAGTTCTTCAAATGCCATAACATATGCTCTACAGTATTCCTCGACATATACAACCGTTGAAGCCTAAAAGTTAGAGGTAATATCTCAATATCTTCTGAGGCATCCTATGTCCAGATCGAGACACCTTATGTTTGTATTGTGGGCTAAACATGTACGGCAATGAGTCATGCTCTCGGTTTCTCTGTAGTACAACATGCAATCATTGACACAAGCATGGATCTTCACAATACCAAGACCAAGACTAGATAATATTTTCTTTGTTTTATAGAATGTATCTTCTAACTGGTCACCTTCTGGCATAATTCCCTTCACGATAGACAACATACGATCATAGCATGATGTAGGCATGTTAAATTCAGACTTCAGATTCATGAGTTGTGCCATTATAGAAAGGTTGGTATGCTTACTGCAACCAAGCCAAATAGGTTTGTCAGCTTTTTGTAATAGTCTAAAGAAATTT